GCGTGTGCTTTCCCTGTAACTTAGTTTAAGAGATGCCAAATCCCAATTCTTATCTTGACAAAGACTTGGAGTTTTACATGATCTCATCTTTCTGATGCTGGCCTGGCAGCAAGCACTTGTTTCACATGGGGTTTAGAATCTCCCGTCTTTCTAGACATGTAAGAATAGTGCTAAAACATACTGCACCTCTCACCTCTCTTTTGGTCTGCAGCATGTACATGAGTGTATTGATTCTCTACCCCCCCTCCGCCCTTAATTTGGTGCAAGAACACAGACCCAGGAGCACTGCAAGTTAGTTTATTAGCTTTGACCTTGAGATTCATTAGCTGTAATCCAATTAGAAGCACACTGACAGATGTGTTTGTGCACTGGGGCTGTGTGCTGTTTTGGATTCAGAGACTTGTGATTCCTGTTGGAGAGCTTGTTTTGGGTAATCTCATGAAAGATCTGTACTCCGGGCTCAGAGTGGCATCGGTTTTGATTTGTTTGCTAATAGAAACCTTTCTGTTTCCAAAAAGAAAAGGAGTACTTGTGGCACCTTAGAGACTAACCAATTTATTTGAGCATAAGCTTTCGTGAGCTACAGCTCACTTCATGAAGTGAAGCTCACGAAAGCTTATGCTCAAATAAATTGGTTAGTCTCTAAGGTGCCACAAGTACTCCTTTTCTTTTTGCGAATACAGACTAACACGGCTGTTACTCTGAAACCTTTCTGTTTCCGATTATTCTTCCTGATTGGGGAGACATCTTATTTCCTATGACACAGTTAAAAAGAGATGGTGAGTCTCGAGGAGGGAAGCCATCAAGGTGATTTAACAATGTTTTCTTTCTAGTTTGTTTGACTTAAACTTCCCCCAGATCTTAATTGAATGGAGGCCTGCCTGGCTATAAAAATGCTGGTCCAATAGCCGTAAGATTTGGTTCAGTAATTACTGTGATTCACAGTACTGTGAGGCACTCCAAGCCCTGTGTCTGCAGTAAATGAAATCCAAATCTCCATTCTGAAACAGACACCCATTAGTCATTGAAATCTGCTCTTTGAACATATCATGGAAGGAGTCTTGGAAAAGAGACGACTAAGATGGGATATGATTGAGGTCTATAAAATCATGACTGGTGTGGAGAAAGTAAATAAGGAAGTATAGCACAAGAACGAGGGACCACCAAATGAAATGAATAGGCAGCAGGTTTAAAACAAACACAAGGAAGTATTTTTTCACTCACCGCACAGTCACCCTGTGGAACTCCTTGCCAGAGGATGTTGTGAAGGCCAAGACTATAACAGGGTTCAAAAAAGAACTAGGTACATTCATGGAGGATCGGTCCATCAGTGGCTGTTTGCCAGAAGCTGGGACTGGGTGACAGGATGGATCCCTTGATGATTCCCTGTTCTGTTCATTCCCTCTGGGGCACCTGGCACTGGCCACTGTCGGCAGACAGGCTCCTGGGCTAGATGGATCTTTGGTCTGACCCAGTCTGGCCATTCTTATGTTCTGAAGGAGTCCAGGCATTCTGCTTTGGAAGCTTAATTCCACAGCTGTCTCCATGACTGCAGACTTGGGAAGCTCAAGGGGCACCAGAAATGTACTGCAGTGCACTTACCTCTGTGTGCATAATTTATCATTGCTGACTTAGCTGCCGCAAGCGCCTGCCCTTCTTTCCCTGTAGGCTGCTTCAGCTCTAATCTGCCTGTGCGAGCAATGGAATTCTGTAATACCCCCTTGGGCGGAGTGGGGAGAGTGGCAGAGAGTTCAGGAGAATGCCCGGGGTTTGAGCGAGGAGAGATACTCCATTCCCTCCATGCGTGATGTGTAGAGACGGTGAGGAGGTGCTAAAACATTCCAGTGGTTGATTGGGAAATTTTTATCATATGAAGCAATGTAAATAGGTAATTTGCAATCAATACCATACACTGTGTAACGTCAGAATTACTGTATTGATTGCAACATTAGACGCAGGGCTGTGAGTACCTCGGAAGGTTGAGGAATCGAACGCCCAGACCTTGTGGTGTGTTTCACAATCGCAGAGCACACATTACTAGAGCAGGGCAATGATTGTTTCTTTATACAACAGTCGAGCTGGCACAACACAACTATCAACAGTGAACAAAGGGCAAATCCACAGCGTGAGGAAGAACCAGAACAATGAAATAGAATATTGTTAATGTAGGGAACTGGGATTGTTCCTGGGGATACCCAGGAGTGTGAGGCATCTTGCTACACCCTGCCCTTAGCTTGAGGTCTGTGCCTGCCATGTGTCAGCTCCTTGACTCCTCTGGCCATGGTCATCACAAGCGCTTCCCTCTGAGCCTGCCAGGCTCTGCTGTCCCTTTGCAGGTTCACAGTAGGCACATACCAACCTCCGAATGTCCAGCCCCTGGCCTGCTGAACAACCGCCAGGTTTGCTGCTCCCCAAGGAACAGTACCCTGACTGTACTAGTTACACCTGAGATCGCAGCGCCACTTGCCACACAGCACTTGGGTGTGTTGTGAAAACAAGCAAAAGCTTATTTAATAAAGAGTAGGGATTCAAATGAAAAGTAGAAATATTGGAAACAAATGGTTACATGTAAAATAGAAACAGCATTCTAGAACCTAGACTGACTGACTTAGTTACTGTTAACCCTTATACAGCTATGCTCAGCCCAAATCCTTCCAGTTTATTACAGCCAAGCTTGGCTGTGATCTTCCATTCATGAGACGTGTCACACTGTCCTGTTGTGTCCTCAGTGGAAAGATGCGGGGGAGTACCTCTCCCCCGCCCCCCGTTGTCTTCATTGTTAACCAGGATCTCCCCTGCAGGTTGTTTTTCCGTGTGCCTCTTTCTTGTCCATTTCACAATCTCCTGATTAGCATCCAGCTTAGATTGTAGACAGGCTTCCATTGTGGAGTGGATGATACACAACCCACATGACCAGTGAGTGAGAGAAAAGCATTTATTCCCATCTGGTGACCTTTCTTAACTCTCAGACCATAAGAACATAATTTTCAGTATGGATACACAATTCCTTAAACAGCATCCATCCACATGTTTCACAGTGATTATGCAACCAGTGGGCTGTTGGCTCTTCGTGGAGACCTCACATGCCACCCTTTGATAAACTTAATATGCATACATCTGACCTAGGGGATCCCTGTCAAACTCTATGCATCCCATGTGCCCTCTAACATAGAATCATAGAAGATTAGGGTTGGAAGAGACCTTGTGAGGTCATCTAGTCCAACCCCCTGCTCAAAGCAGGACCAACCCCAGCTAAATCATCCCAGCCAAGGCTTTGTCAAGCCGGGCCTTCAAAAGCTTGAAGGATGGAGATTCCACCACCTCCCTAGGGAACCCATTCCAGTGCTTCACCACCCTCTTAGTGAAAAAGTTTTTCCTAATATCCAACCTAGACCTCCCCCACTGCAACTTGAGACCATTGCTTCTTGTTCTGTCATTTGCCGCCATTGAGAACAGTCTAGATCCATCCTCTTTGGAAACCCCTTTCAGGTAGTTGAAAGCAGCTATCAAATCCCCCCTCATTCTTCTCTTCCACAGACTAAACAATCCCAGTTCCCTCAGCCTCTCCTCATAAGTCATGTGCCCCAGCCCCCTAATCATTTTCATTGCCCTCCGCTGGACTCTCTCCAGTTTGTCCATATCTTTTCTATAGTGGGGGGACCAAAACTAGATGCAGTAGTCCAGATGTAGCCTCTGGACTATGTGGCCTCTGGACCAGTACCTAATAGAGGGGAATAATCACTTCCTTCGATCTGCTGGCAGTGTTCCTATTAATGCAGCCCCATATGCCCTTAGCCTTCTTGGCAACAAGGGCACACTGCTGAGTCATATCCAGCTTCTCGTCCACTGTAATCCCCAGATCCTTTTCTGCAGAACTGCTGCCGAGCCATTCGGTCCCTAGTCTGTAGCGGTGCATGGGATTCTTCCTTCCTAAGTGCAGGACTCTGCACTTGTCCTTGTTGGACCTCATCAGATTTCTTTTGGCCCCATCCTCCAATTTGTCTAGGTCACTCTGGACCCTATCCGTACCCTCCAGTGTATCTACCTCTCCCTACAGCTTAGTGTCATCCACAAACTTGCTGAGGGTGCAATCCATTCAATCATCCAGATCATTAATGAAGATGTTGAACAAAAGCGGCCCCAGGACTGATCCCTGGGGCACTCTGCTTGAAACTGGCTACCAACTACCAACATTTGATATGGGGGGCAAATCCTTGCAGCCCTCGCACAAGTGGGCGAACATTTTGCATTGGATTTTGGTCGGGATCTCAGCGGACTAATGCACTGTAGTGTTTGCCAACCACTTTTCCAGGAAAGAGATACAAAATAATAGATGCCGTAGAGCAGGTTGATCAGGCACTTCTTTGCTTTCTTTCTCCCAGCATAAGAACAAAGGGATATTGAAGCAAATTGGTAGGCAGCAAGTTTAAATACAATAAAAGGAATTACTTTTTCACACAGTCTGTGGAACTGATTGCCACAAGATGTCACTGAAATCAAGTGTTTAGCAAGATTATAGTAAGGACTTCTTTAATAAAAAAAAAAAAAAAGGCGGGAAGAGACATAAGCCCTCCTGCTCCAGGCCACAAACCAACCACTGACTGACGGGTTAGGACAAAACTTTCCTTGTAAGCAGGCTATTCCATATCTATTCTGCAGGGTTTGTTGCACCTTCCTCTGAAGCAATCTGGTGCTGGAAACTGAACTAGGATCTGGCTAGCCGGACCGTTGGTCTCAGTCAGTATCTTGTGTGGCAATTAACCCCCACCCCCCACTTCCTGCATGCTAGTGGCTGGTAGTATCTTAGTCTAGGGTATAGAGATGTCAGGGCTATGGCAGACAGAACACATTTTGGGGGAAAAACATCCGTGCAGGGGCCATCTCTTTGTATAGTACCTAGCACAATGGGGTCCTGGCCGTGACTACAGCTCCTGGGTGCTGTGGTGATACACTGTCACCTCCTGCTTTCTCAGTAGTTTGGTCTCTGTTCTTACGCCCAGGCTGTACACCATGGCCCAAGCGGAGAAGAAAGGCGGACTGCTCTGGAAATCTTCAGCCTCCAAGAAACTATTGAAAGAGAAGGTTGTGCTAATGTACGATGAGATCTTCATGGTAAGGACTGGGTCCCTTTTCCTTTTGTCCCTTTGGTTTGCCGAGAGAGCTCCATGTGGTGGATTCTTCTCCATGAGACAGGGCACGCTTCTGTCCAGGCCAGGCTGTCCCATAACTGTCTCAAACTGTCTCAAAGGAGGCAGCTTCCTCTGCTGCCTCCTTCAGTGTCACTGTGTGGCGTTCCCCGGGGGATCTAGAATGTGGTGGCCATGAAGTTAGGAAAGGGAGTGGCAGGCCAGGGGAGCCAGTGCAGTAGGAGGCAGGGACTCCATAGTGAGGAGCTGTGAGGAATCTTCTCCTTTTTTGTTTGGGGGAGAGAATATTTCTGGGAGAAAAGAAGAAAAGCTGCTCAGGCGAGAATGGCTTCTGCAAATCCCGCTTTTGGGAATCGGTGTTGGCAATATATTGTACTTGGAGAACTCCAGTGACAGGTGAGTAGCCTTGTCTTCGGGAGTCTGAACTGTTTACACTGATGTTCTGTCTGTGTGCTTAGCCTTTCTCCTAGCTGTACTGTTTGTTCTCATGGGGTCTCCTTTCTCTTTCAGACAGAGGACCCCAGTAAATGCAGCCCTCGGTTCTGGGAGGAGCTTTTCCTCATGAAGGTATCGTAAGAGTTGAAAGCCATCCTCTTATCTTTTGATTCGCCTTTGCTTGTGTGGCCTGGGATGTGGCAGGGACTTGCTTTCCTGTGGGTCTCCGCTTCCTTTCAGCAGCTGGAGGAAATGCATTAATTGGTTTTTCCTTCGTTCCTGACCGACAGGTGAACCTGGAGTATCTAGAAAGCAAGCTGGAGTCTCTGGACGGAGAAGAGTTAATGAAGATAAAAGATAACGTTAACTGTTTGTTCCAGCGCTGCATCCAGGCCTTGGGAGAAGAGCACCCCATCCGAGTGGTCAATGCGTTACAGGTACCGGCTCCGATGGCTCGGGAGTCGGTGTGCGTGGGCCGGTTTTCCGCTTATGGATATTGTCAAGCACCTTGCGCTAGTTTCTTTAGCGGGGATGAGAGGCAGTGGCTTCTCACTGGTAGCTTTCATTATTTATTCCGTTTGGAGGTTTGAGACAAGCACAGTCCTATCTATCTTGGGAAATGTAAATTGCTTTTAAAATGCAAATTCTGAGTTTCTGGAATTGTGAGGAAGACCACCCGCAGCGGGGTAGGGTGGGAAGGGAGGAAGGTGAGGGACCCTTCAGTGCAACAGGTAACCCGGCTGGGAGCTGAAGTATAGTCCAAGAGCAGGTTGTTTGTCCTCTCTTCCCCCCCACCTACTCCCTGCCCCTCATTGAGTTTCCTGACAGAGGAAATGAAATAAAGCTCTGGAGAAGGTGGAGTGAAGTCTGTACAAGAGACCACGCTTATTAGACAATGACTTGTCTGATGAGATTGTATCCATATCTTTGGGGACATTTGGAGCAATTTTGCTCTATGCTTTAGAAATACATTTTTTTAAAGGAACACCAAGAATTGCTAAACAGAGTGTCAGGTGCTGCCCTGGGCTCAGCGTCCCCTTCTGGGCCTTGGCAGTTACACTTCTCTGGTTGTAAATGTGTCTGTCTCCCTTGTTGGTGTGTGGGGCACCCATGCAAGCTGAGGAAACTGTCTGACTGTACAGGCGAAGCAGTGAGAATGGCTGTCTGCATGGTGCAGTCAAATGCGCACACTGGAAAAATATGTATTTTCTCTAATCTCCGAGTTCTCCCAATCTGAGGAGTTACATAGAACAATGGGAAGGGAAGAGTTCAGACAGTAGTGGAACCTAAATTGATGATGGCCCTTGAAGCATCTGTTCTTTGTCAGTCCCTGGAGCAGGGCTTGGAATGGATTTTGGGGGGCGAGTCGTAGGTGTGGCCTGACATCCTGTGCTCAGCTGCTTCCTTCCCTCTTCCCTTCACAGACGTTATGTGCCCTGATTCGTGGCGTCCATCAGAAGAACAAATCTACCTCTGGGTTTGACATCATCAACATGCTCATGGGCTTCGACAGAGCAGAGCTGTGCATGAAGGTAAGGGTCCTGGCATCAGAGGAGCAGCTTGCTGCTCGCCAGCCCTATCCTACAGGGTTGTCCTCTGTAGACAGTTGCCGTTATGAAGAACCGCCTGTGCGTGTTTGAACACTGAAGCGAATTATTAAATGTAGCTGCCCCGTGTATTCTGCCTGCCAAAGGCCCAGCACAAGGGCGCTTGTAATTCATTACAAATCTAACGTAATGATGGAGGGAGGTTGTTCCTTTCCATTCACGCCAATGTGTTGATTCCTGGATTGTCATGAATAGAATTTAAGGCCAGAAGGGATTGTTAGATTATCTAGTCTGACCTGCTGTATAACGCAGGCTGGAAAATTCCACCCAGTTACCCCAGTATTGAGTCCAACCGCTGGGGGTAGCAATCTTTTTGGTGCTCCGATTTCCCTCGGTACAGCTGGGTGGGTGGGAACTTTGACAGCGTAAACTCAGCCAGCGTCTGACCTTTGAATTTTTTACTGGTGAGTGTAGTTGCTTGAACAGCGTTTAACTATCCACAGGCAAACTCTGTCCTGCTGCTAGGCTGCTCAGGTACACATGTCTGGTTTATGGCAGTCAGAGGTCAGAATGCCGCTGTTCATGCTGGCGTCTGATCTGTAAATCAGTTACAAGGTGGGGAGGCTCTTCAGGGGATTGGAACGTACATTACTTTTGAGTGCCACCTCCTGTCATGGGGGTGATGGAAGGGGACAGTTTAATAAGGCGCTTTGTGTCTCAGTTATGGAGTAACCCTTCTATGAATAATAAGATTTGATGGTTAGCTGTGGAACAGCTCCAGTGAGGTGGTGGGATAACTGGGCAAATGTGCTGTAAGGACTGATGTGGTCCAGCAAGTTAAAGTCACATGTGGCCTAGATTTTGGCTGGTACCAGCTCGTCCCTGGCTCCTGACAAGGCTGGAGGGGGGGGGTTTAGTGTTGTTCAGCGATTGGTAGCCAGACTGGTGTGCTATATGTAACCTGATGGATTCAGATCGCGAAGGTTTATTGTGACTGTGTCCTTCCTCAGAATCTGATGGAGAGCTTGGACTCGCTGCTTTGTGCAGAAGGCTCCGAAAGCCTGAAGAGTTTGTGTCTGAAGCTGCTTCTCTGCTTGGTAACGGTAAATAACACAAAACTGAAGTTTCGCTTAGAAACCTTGATGGGCAGGTATGCCGGCAAACTGACCAAAGGACGGGGGGATCTGTGAGTGCAGAGGACAAAGTGTGGTACAGGGTCTGGTTGCTGGAAGTGCTGCTTCTAGAATGATCTTTCTTCCTGGGCTGACATTGCAGTGTCAGTTGATCAGTGTCTTTAATGGCCACGTGTCATTTCCAGAATTGTTCCTTTAGAGAGCAGCTATGTTAAAGAGCCCCGGGTGGCAGCCCTGTGGGGTTTGGAAGGGCTGCAGGCTAGCGAAGGGCTGTCCTGTCCTGAGGCACAGATGTGGTCTTCGATTGGCACTGGGATGATTCCAGGCCGGCTCAGCCATTTCCACCCTTGCAAGGGGAAGGGGCCTCGGGCTGGGAGCTGTTACTCTTTCTGTGGTAGTGTGATGAGTATGTAAGGAAGTTGGTCTGTCCCTGGGACAGTGAGTTACACACAGCAGCGTGAAAGTTTCCTGTGTTGCACAGAGTCTGAGACACTCCTGGCAGATGCAGTGACTGGGGTGCACACAAGAAAGGAGTCGGGGTGCTGGGAGGAGGGTGAGTCTGCACGGCTATTCCCACTTTGCTCTGCTCTCGTCCTACCTGGACTCTTGCCTTGCTGAGAGCACATGAACTTAGAGCGTCTGTTCAGTAGGGGAATGTGCCTGTTTCCGTGCACACTGGAGGCAGGTACAGAACGTTAGGGATTATGGAGCTTCAGTCAGCGTTTTAAAAAGCCTTTGATTGCTTTCAGGTGACAGACAACATCAGCCAGAACACAATCCTGGAATATGTGATGATTAACAGTATATTTGAAGCTATTTTACAGGTAAGTGTTTCTCATCTCTGGCTGGTTAGGTCTTTTCCCATAGTGCCAGACTTTCATCGGTGCATTTACTGTTCAGTGCTTTAAATACAACAGAGGTTCGCTGGTGTTACATGTCAACCTCTTACTCCTAGCTCGGTGGTAGATGTTATAATGCTGCCGCCTCCTTATGCCGGTCTATTGGTTTCAGTCACTGGTGGGCTTTTAAGATTGTCACACTTGTGTCTTTTGTGCTCAGAAAGCAGGTGAATAGCTCTGTGGGTCTAATTTCATGGAGGATTTCTAGACTAGAGGAACTTATTATGACAGTCAGCCTGGGTATTTCCAGCAATTTTCTCCCCTTTGATATGGTATGCTTTTTAGGAGAAGTATTTGAGTGTGTCCTGGCAATACACTGAGATACTGTCACAGCCAGTGCTGGGTGATGCTGTGGCTGCGACATTTTGCTCTCTCTAAGCCTGTGTACATAACTGGCTCTCTCTGGTTTCTTATATGCATTGCAATTCACTGTTCTAAATCTCATACATAGGGCCCTACCAAATTCATGGTCCATTTTGGTAAATATCACGGTCATAGCATTTAAAAAATCTTCAATTTCATGGTTTCAGATGTTTAAATCTTAAATTTCACAGTGTTGTAAGCGTGGGCGTCCTCACCCAAAAGAGGGTCAGGCGGGGGGTTGCAAGGCTATTGTAGGGGGGTTGCGGTATTGCCACCCTACTTCCGCGCTGCCGTCAGCGTTGGGTGGCTGGAGAGCGGCAGCTCTGAAGTCGGTGCCACCAGAGTGGAGAAGTAAGGATGGCAATATCCTGCCCTGCCACCCAATATCCTGCCCTGCCACCCAATATCCTGCCCCCCTTACTTCTGCACTGAGGCTGGTGGTGGCGGCTCTGCTTTCTGGGCTGGGTGCCTGGCCGGGAGCCACCGCTCTCCAGCCGCCCAGCTCTGAAGGCAGCTCTGAAGTAAGGGTCGCAACATCGCGGCTCCTCTGCTATAGCCAGACTTTACAGGGGAGACCAGATTTCATCATTTGTGACGCTTTTTTCGTGGCTGTGAATTTGGTAGGGCCCTACTCATACATCACTTAGCGCATAATATGCTGATATGTTACATATTGGTCTGCTTGGCCTTGCTTCTTCAGGAAACTAGCTATGTTTCATAGTCAACTACCGGGTAACATGGTGCATTCCTGCTTCTTGTTTCAGATTCTGTCCAACCCACCTAGTCGCCGGGAGCATGGTTATGACGCTGTTGTCCTTCTTGCTTTGCTAGTTAACTACAGAAAGTATGAGGTAGGTGTTGGGGGCAGAGAGCCATTTTGTTACGCTGATGTCTTTCTTCAGCCAGTTTGTCCTTGGGATGCGAGCCCTTAGTGAGTGCTAAAATACACTTGTAAAGGCCAACCACTGCTCAGACAGCTTGATACCTCTTTAAACCCTCCTTTTATTTGCTGTTTCAAGAACAGCCCTTGGTGCTGTGAGACTAAAATCTGTTTCCTCTCAGAAGGTGGGCTCTCTATTGCGTGAGTCTGCACTGGCTGGCTGTTGTAAGGTTCTGCACAAGAGCTGCAGTGTTGCCATCCATACAATTTCTAGAAAAAGGCATTGAAACGTTTAGCAGGGTAAAAACGGACAATTACAGGAGCTGGGCACAACATCTGCATGTTCATTGGCAGAGAATATGTCAGTAATTTCCCCATCCCATTTTGACAGTATCTGTTTATATGTTTCTTTTACATGTACGTGCATATCCAAAGGTGCAGGTGTTCAAACAGTTATTTATATACAAGTACAAAGGAAAGCTGTTCAGGGGATTTGCACTTCATCTATGGAAATACTTTACTTCGATTTGCAGGAAGGCCTCTTGAAAGAATCATTAATGTGTAGCGTGCGTGTGTGTGTAAAATATGTTTTCTCCAAAGAGAAGCAAGTTGTTATAGAGTTGCCTTGGGTTTCAGACCCTGGACATGTGATTTGGAGCTGACTGTCAAGTCAAAAGAATTTAGAACTCTCCGGAGCGATGCCAGTCATGTGACTAGAGGATGAGCTGAAATGTCACAGCCTACAACTCCTTAGGAGAATGAGAAATGTGGCTCTGCATCTCTCTGATTGCCGCCTTCTTCTCAAGAAACATAATTCTCCTGTCCTTTTCCAAGCTGGGATGCTGTATTTAGTAATCTGCTTGTGTTTCTACAAAGTTTTTTTCTACTGATCTTATTCTTGAGAGAGAAAATGAAAGAAATGTTAAAATACATGTGAAATGTCAGTGCCTCTTTACATGAGGCATGATGATATAATTGTCTGTCTTAAGAGTTTTCCTTAACGTCGGGATTTTGAATTTAATTGTTTGGAAACATGAGTTCTGGACTCTTAAGTTTTGCACTAATCATGAAATACAGATATGTTTCTATCTGACCTCATTCCTGACTGAGGAAGAGAGAGTATATATTAAGGTTTCCTTGTGTGTGTTCATATTGCTGTAGTGTTTACAATATGCTCGGGCTAATCAGATGCAGACGAAGACGCAGAGGAAGAATGACGTATCTAAATGAAATGCAGGGGGAATTTAGGCAATTTCTCAAGTTAGAATTTGGCTGGGACACTAAGGCTGATGAATCAGTGTTTACTAAAAGTGTCAAATTGTGATAGGCTTCTGTTTTGCCTTAAAATTCTGTGTAATACAATACAGCACCAACACCAGTATCACAAAAGTAAAGCTTGATCAACTTAAAGATGGCAACATGAATCAGCTTTCTTACACATGGTGCAGCTAGTGATGCCTGTAATTAAGATTGCTGAGCACTTTCTACTATAAGATCATGTTTTCAGTTGTTTATAACTTTGCCATTTATAAACTTTACCTGTTTCCAGGCTGGGTGTCTGCCTCAGGCTGAATTTCCTTTTTTAAGGATTCAGCCATTTCCTACACAACGTTAGGGAAAAATACGTTGTTTTGCCCATTTAAAACAGTTCCTGTAATTGTTCTGTTGAGAAGCGGGCTCTGTGCTTTAGAGCAGGGATTGAAATTTGGCTTTGGGTGGCTGTGGTGCCTTTCACCATCTCCATGAAACTCTGCTCACATCTGACTAATTTATAAGCCTCTGAAAATCTCTATTTGCACATGCTCAGCAGAAGTTTGTTAGTGGCAGCTAAAGTCTCCAAAGAGTCTGTCTGCACTGAGCATGCTCCAACCCCTCAAAGCTCCTGATCATCCCCGCAGACCACCTGAGCTTGATGCAGCCCAGGGATGCAGGGGCTGAGCAGGATTCGTCCTGCGATAACTCTCCGGGCTGCCGGGGGTCACTATTGTGCTAGTCACCAGAACTGAGAACAGGGAGAGCCATGCTGTCAGTGCCACCTGCTAGTGCCCAGGCAACAATAAGGAGGAGGAGAACGGAGCAGCCTAACTCACTTGCAAATGGGTGAGGAGCAGGGCAGGGGGCAGGGACAGGAGTTGGGGGCGGGATGGATAGGACCAGTGGGGGCAGACAGGGATATGGGGGAATCAAGGACAAAAGGTTCTATAACCATCAGAACACACATCTAGTCCATGGAATTGAATCATGGATTCCTGAGTCTGAACACTCCTCTGCTGTCTAGCAAGTGGCTAGGAATCCCACTGGCAAAATGTCTTTCCCCCTCCACCTAGAGCAGGGGTGGGCAAACCATGGCCCGTGGGCTGGATCCAGCCCGTCAGGACTTTGGATCCGGCCCACGGGATTGCCCCCCGTGGTGCCGCAGGCTCTGTACCACTCTCAGAAGCGGCCCGCACCACGTCCCTGGGGTCGGGGGGGGCGGGGGGGAAAGAAGAGCTCTGTGCGTTGCCCTTGCCTCCAGGCACCGCCCCCCGCAGCTCCTACTGGCCGGGAGCGGGGAACCACGGCCAATGGGAGCTTCGGGGGAGGTACCTGGAGGTGCAACAAGAGCAGTGCGTAGAGGCCTGTGTCCCCCCCCGCCTCTCCCAGGGGCCGCGCAGGGACATGGTGTTGGCCACTTCCTGGCACGGTGTGGGTCCCCGGTGCGCACCGCTGCCACCCTGGAACCGCTTTAGGTAAGCGGTGCTGGGCCGGAGCCTGGACCCTCCTGCACCCCAACTACCTGCCCTGAGCCCCTTGCTGCACCCCTGTGCACCACAACTCCTTGCCCTGAGCCCCCTGTCCCCACACCCCTCCTGCACCCCAACCCCCTGCCCGAGCTCCCTCCCACAGTCTGCACCCCTGCCCTGAGCTCCCTCCTGCACCCCGCACCCCTCTTGCACCCCATCCCCTTTCTTTGAGCCCCCTCATAAACCCTGCACCCCTCCTCTGCCTCAATCCCTTGCCGTGAGTCCGTTCCTGCATACCACACCCCCTCCCGCACTCCACACTCCGCACCCCAACCCCCTGCCCCAGCCCTGCATACAATTTCTCCACCCAGATGTGGCCCTTGGCCCAAAAAGTTTGCCCACCCCTGACCTAGAGGATAACAGCTTACTACTGCTACCAGTTATTCATGTAGCACAAGTGGTGGACATCTGTGCTGTGAGCCAACAAGTTCCAGCTCTGTGTTCTGTAGAACCCTGTATGCCCAGGTGTTGCAGTGCATCTCCTCAGCCATGTGGGCTATTGTGAGCACATCAGACTTCTCCTCTGCTCTCTGCACTGGCTTCCCATGGACTAGAAAGTCAAAGCCGAGATCTCGATCCTTACCTCAGGATGCCCCAGTCTAGCACGTCTGAAAGAGCCTAATGCTCTGATTGAAGACCGTAGCTGACAGCCCCGCTCCTTTGGCAGACTGGAACCTTTTACCATAAGAAGTTGGTGTTTTTATGGGGATCAGCCCAGGACCATGGAATGAACTCTCCCAGAAACTAAGGACCAGCCACCTCCCCCCACCTTCTCCTTCCAGTTCAGGGGGCATGTCTTCAGCTTGCCTCCTCTCATGTACACACAGAGCAGCATGGACATTAACGCCCCGCCCTACTGAAACAGAACACTCCACAACACACACAGTTCTTCTCCCAGGAGCAAATGAGAGAGAACTATCCATGGGTGGAGATGGTAGCCATATCGCTTGATGTGCAGCTAGAAGGTGCTCAGGTATTGCAGAGATTAAATCATATCATAGAATCATAGAATATAAGGGTTGGAAGGGACCCCAGAAGGTCATCTAGTCCAACCCCCTGCTCGATGCAGGACCAATTCCCAGTTAAATCATCCCAGCCAGGGCTTTGTCAAGCCTGACCTTAAAAACCTCTAAGGAAGGAGATTCTACCACCTCCCTAGGTAATGCATTCCAGTGTTTCACCACCCTCTTAGTGAAAAAGTTTTTCCTAATATCCAATCTAAACCTCCCCCACTGCAGCTTGAGACCATTACTCCTCGTTCTGTCATCTGCTACCATTGAGAACAGTCTAGAGCCATCCTCTTTGGAACTCCCTTTCAGATAGTTGAAAGCAGCTATTAAATCCCCCCTCATTCTTCTCTTCTGCATGCTAAACAATCCCAGCTCCCTCAGCCTCTCCTCATAACTCATGTGTTCCAGACCCCTAATCATTTTTGTTGCCCTTCGCTGGACTCTCTCCAATTTATCCACATCCTTCTTGAAGTGTGGGGCCCAAAACTGGACACAGTACTCCAGATGAGGCCTCACCAATGTCGAATAGAGGGGAACGATCACGTCCCTCGATCTGCTCGCTATGCCCCTACTTATACATCCCAAAATGCCATTGGCCTTCTTGGCAACAAGGGCACACTGCTGACTCATATCCAGCTTCTCGTCCACTGTCACCCCTAGGTCCTTTTCCGCAGAACTGCTGCCTAGCCATTCGGTCACTAGTCTGTAGCTGTGCATTGGGTTCTTCCGTCCTAAGTGCAGGACCCTGCACTTATCCTTATTGAACCTCATCAGATTTCTTTTGGCCCAATCCTCCAATTTGTCTAGGTCCTTCTGTATCCTATCCCTCCCCTCCAGCGTATCTACCACTCCTCCCAGTTTAGTATCATCCGCAAATTTGCTGAGAGTGCAATCCACACCATCCTCCAGATCATTTATGAAGATATTGAACAAAACCGGCCCCAGGACCGACCCTTGGGGCACTCCACTTGATACCGGCTGCCAACTAGACATGGAGCCATTGATAACTACCCGTTGAGCCCGACAATCTAGCCAGCTTTCTACCCACCTTATAGTGCATTCATCCAGCCCATACTTCCTTAACTTGCTGACAAGAATACTGTGGGAGACCGAGTCAAAAGCTTTGCTAAAGTCAAGAAACAATACATCCACTGCTTTCCCTTCATCCACAGAACCAG